GAGACAGGATCTCTGGCTTGGAAATAGGAATGAGACCAAGTCCAATATTGTGGGCACACAAAGGCAAGCCTTTAATTAGGGCTTCACCAAAGGTGGACAGCACTGATTAAGGAACTAGGCTGTTTCACCAAGGCAAGATGTGGAAACTTTTATTGCTTTTCTGGGGTGAGGCAAAGTCTAATAATTTCCAATAACCAGGGGCATGCTTCCAAAAGATGTTTTTTTCTTGCAAGAAACTAGAATACTGGGCCAACAGGAGGTTGAAGAAGAATAAAATAAAGAAAAAGGAAAAAAAAAAAGAGAGAGAGAGAGGCAAGCCAGGCACAGGGGCACACACTTGTAATTCCAGCAACTTGGGAGCCTGAGAAAGAATTTTAAGTTCAAGGCCAGCCTGAGCAACTTAGCAAGACCCGTCTCAAAATAAAAAGGGCTGGATATGTGCCTCAGTGATAGAGTTCCCCTGGGTTCAATCCCCAGTACCAAAAACAAGAAAAAAAATCATATATATATATATTTTTTTTTTTGATAAATCATAAAAAAACACCAATATAAATACAGACATGATTTTTTAAAGTAACATGTTGAATCTAGCAAAATGAAAAGGCTAATAGACCAATATGTGCAAATTTAATTTATTCCAGTAATACATGTTGTTCTACCATCTGAAAATCAAAGAATGTATAGTTCATTTTGTTAACAGAATTAAGGATTTTTTTAAAGACCCTGATACATGCAGAAAGGCACTGGATAAAATCCAATATCAATTTGTGATTTTTAAACACATTTGACAATCCAGGAACAAAACAGAATTCCCTTAATTTGATAAAAGTTATCTATGAAAATTTACACGTAGCATTATATTTAATGGTGACATGTAGAATATTCTTTCATAAAGGAACAAGGAAACGATATTCATTTTCATGACCTCTATTCATTAAATAAGACAAGAAAAATAAATAAAAGGTTTATAAACCAGGTGAGAATTACTTGAGTGAGTTAAATTTATCTCACTAGCTATAAAGCTGATGTAAGAAAAAGGTATGAACTAATCCAAAAATTAAAAATAAAAAAGGTATGTACTAATCCAAAAATTTAAAAAATTTACAAAGCAAAACACACCATGTATCTAGAAATAAATTAAACAAAGGCATTCAAGACCTCTACAATTAAACTACAAAGCACCTTCAGAAAAGTTAAAGACAACCTAGGTAAATGGATTGTTGCATTATGTTCATCAATTGAAAGATGCATTTCTGTAAAGATGTCAATTTTCCTTAGGTTATTCTATAAAATGGACCCAGAATATTTTTACAAAAATTAATAAATTCTAAAATTAGAATTTATTACTAGATTTCCAAAAATACTACAAAGCTAATAAAAATTAAGATAGTATGGTGCTGCTGCAAGGAAAGACAAACAAACCAAAAGACATAGATTGCCTACCTAAGCAGAGGGAAAACATGATCTAGTGGATAAATCTGTACATATATATACATCTGCATCCTACCTCACACCCTATCAAACAAAAAAATACTTGAAATGGATCACTGACCTGAATACAAGAAGTCAAACAATGAAGGGTCCAAAAGAAAACATAAAATATATTCAGTATCTTGTCTAGGCAAATACTTCATAAAGAACACTCAGATCTCTACTTATTTTTATGTTCTGTAAAGACTGAGAGCAATTTTTAGCAATCTAAAAGACATATGGCATCTTACATTCTAAATGGATTTCTAGGAACTAACAAACACTGGGTAAGTTCCCAGACTTTATATTTCCCAAAGTCAGCATAAGGTGCAAGCTTACAATATTGCCCCTATTTTGAGCCACCACCTGCTCACAGCTGCCTCTCTCTCTTCTCCATGTGCATCATAAGTGCCAGGGCTCTATGATTTAGGGGTACAAATTCTAACCTCACTTTCTCAATGAGAAACTGGGAGCTGGTCCTAAACAAATCAGAATATTAACATTCCCCTGGCCATGGTGGACAAAATAAGCCATTAATCAGATTCCATTTTGATAATTATATTGGAACTGTTCAAAAAAGATGTCACTCTTCTCCCTGAAGCAATATCTTGGGAAGAAAGCAGCACAGAACTTCTGAAGCCTACTGTGAAGAAAACATCCCAGCTGGAAGAAAAGACAATGCAAAAGGATGCACAGCCGAGACATGGAGACAGACAAATTCACATCTTTTAGCCTCAGGATACAGATTGAAGCTTAGTTATAGCCAAGGGCTTTTTAGCAGCAAGGAAACACTTCAAAAGAAAAAAGGAAATAAAAATGGGTAAAATGCTTCAAAAGGTAGCCTAATAAAGATATCCAAATAACCAATAAGCACACCAAAAAGTACTCAAAATCATGACATATCAGGAAAATGCATATTTCAACAAAAACAACAAAAAAATCACCACACACTCTGCTGAAGAGCTAAAGTTAGAAAGTGTGGGCCCAGGATGCAGAATAGCCAACACTCACATGCACTGTTGGGGACTTACTGGTGGAACCAACATTTTTGAAAATCTAAAGTATCTACCAAAACTACACTGAAGTCTACCCTATCATTCAGTATTTGCATTTCTCACATATACCATATACCAAGAGAAATAAGAGCAACCAAGTGACAAACCAGACATTATGTTGAGTAAAAGAAGCCAAACATGTAACAGTACATGTTGTAGTTTTAACATTTATTTGAAAAGTCAGAAAAACCACACCAAATCAAGCGTAATAAGAGTCAAAATCCAATTTCCTCTGTGGAGTGGTTATTGAGAAAGGAGATGAATGAACTTCCTGGAATCCTGGAAATGTGTCCACCAGGATGTATACATCTATGTGAAATTACATCAAGCTGAACACAGCTTGCACATTAGTGTATGTATACCTTGATAAACAGTAAAAAGTGATTAAGGGAAATGCTATAGTTATGCTTTTAAGAGATAAAATATAATTTTTTAAAATATTTTTAGTTGTTAATAGACCTTCATTTTATTCATTTATTTATATGCCATGCTGAGAATCGAACACAGTGCCTCATACATGCTAGGCAAATGCTCTACCACTGAGCCACAACACCACCCCTTAAAATACAATGTTTTTAAAAAGGGGAGGAGGTAGCAAAATGAACCTGAAACAGCTCATAGCATTCCTCTTCTCACATAAAGGCAGTAAAATCTTCCCTGTCTGAAGATATCAAATATAAATCCTCCTCTACCAAAATAGAATGACACCTATCCGAGGCTTGCCTCAATTACCAACAGGATAACTTCATTAGCCACAGCTCTACTCACTTTTGGGACCAAGGTAGGCTTGTATAGACATCAATCCCATAACCAGAGTGAAGGATGAGACTGGACTGTGAGCTTGATGACAATCCTTCTGCAAACTGGTCAACTCTAACAGGGCAGTGAAAGTGCCAGAGGAAGTGCAATGAGAAGCAAAAATGCTAAAATGGCAACACCAGAGCTTGCCAGAGAAATCTAAGTTGTGTTTGGCCAGGATACAGCAGTTAATGGAGACGTTTGTGGAGGTACAGCCCCTGAGGAGACTGAGGTCAAGCACTTAACATTCAGTTTTGAGCAAGTATGGATCAGGGTGTTGGATACTCAGAAAAATGAGCTGAAAACTGGGGCCCACAAGGTCCTTACTCATCTGTTTACCTATATCGTGGTCTTAATGAGCAGGCAATTGTAGCCCCTTCCATAAAGCCTTTCAAACTTCTTGCAAAGTTATTTTATCACCTAGGATTAGAAGTGAATAAGGGAAATGTAGTCCCCAGCCACATCCAAATTAATATAACACATTTTATTAACTTAAAACATTAGATCAAGATTCCAGCCATGAGGGCTGGGGTTGTGGCTCAGTGAGTGCTTACCCAGCATGTATGAGACACTGGGTTCGATTCTCAGCACCACATATAAATAAATAAAATAAAGATCCATCAACAATTTAAAAAACTTAAATTAAAAAAGATTCCAGTCATGAACAAACATAAAGAATAAAACACAAAACAGCAATCAGATGAGACTATACTCTTTCAAGGCCTTTGTACTAATTAATTTCTACTAAAACTTTTTATTACACATGAAAAGCTTTTGATAGTAAACACTGATATTCTCTGGGGCTGGGGATGTGGCTCAAGCGGTAGCGCGCTCGCCTGGAATGCGTGCGGCCTGGGTTCAATCCTCAGTACCACATACAACCAAAGATGTTGTTTCTGCCGAAAAACTAAAAAAATAAATAAATATTAAAATTTCTCTGTCTCTTTCTCTCTCCTCTCTCCTCTCTCTTTAAAAAAAAAAAAAACACTGATATTCTCAAAAGCAGTTGGTACTCCTAGTTTAAAGGAAAGACGGGAATTATTGGGTAGGCAACTTTTAGTATCCAGACAAAGGCAAAGATGAAGACAAAGACGACGAAGAAGAAGATGAAGAAGAAGATGCCCATGCTGTGAGTTCAAACTGAAACAACAACAAAAAAAAAAAAAAAAACACCAATTTCCTGCCTGCAAAAAAAAAAATGCACTTGAGCCAGACTCAATGATATATACCTGCACTCCCACACTTAGGAGGCTAAGGCAAAAGTCCAGGAG